AGTAGCCACTTAGGCCCATGTGTCGTATCACGTTTGATTACTCTTGAAAAATAAAGGGTGTTATGATTGAACATTAAAAAATCATTTCACAATTGAACATTAAAAAAAGGGTCTTATGATTAATCGATTTCCATTAAGAAAGAATCGTGCAATTTAACATATATTATTAATTTAATAGAGTTTTTCTATAGACACTGCAAAATTTAGCCCCACGGCCGTAAAGCACAGATGATTTTTTTTTTTTTTTTAGAACCTTAAAGCACAAAGCAATAGGTTTCTGGAAAATCGAAACAAATAATGCACCGAGCTTAATTTTCATTCCCATTATTAAGGTTTATAACGCTAAGAGATAATTTTAAAAAACAATACTAAGCGATATGTCATAATTCAGAATCTGACTCACCGCCTAGTGTGATATGACATATGGTTCTAAAAAGTAAACCATCCATACATAGCTACAAGTTTTTTCGGTAAAAGATTCTCACCAAAACATATAAAAAAAATTTTTTTATTAACTTTTTGATATTTACTAACAATATTAAATTTCAATTAATTCAGAATCAAATCGCATCAAATTTCATTAAAGAGAAACTCATTCAGCACCTGTTTCTCTTGTTTTTCCTGTTTCTCCATTTACAAGACATGAACTTAATACTTTATTTAAAAAGAATGAAACTCTTTTAATTCAAATTAACATATTATTGGTATATAAAAAAATATTAGAACAACAAAAGGATGAATTAATGCTTAGAGCCTTGGGCTGATATAAGCAACTACTGGCTCTGCCTAGAATAATATAGCAAGCGTTTTATGATCTAGAATTTATCTCATATTAATAACAATTATTTTTCTATATTTTAATGGAGACATTTTTTTTTCTACATTAATTTTATGATTATTTTTTAATTTTAATTATCTATTAGTTGATAAAATATTTTCTTTATTTTATTTTTTAATGATAAAATAAACAAAAATAAAAATTGTTATCAAATCCTAAATCAAAAAATAAAATAAAATAAAATAAATCTATTATTTTGAATAAAAAAAGTATATATCAATGAGGAACTTCTTTTTTTTTTTGTGTCATCAATGAGATTGAGGAACTATTAAGTTAAGCAAAATTCAGTCACTAACAACCATAGAAAATTAAGAGACTAATTATGAAATACACATAATCTGATTCAAAAGCACTTTATTCAATCAACCTAAGAGATTGTGTTTTCTCGAGCTAATTCTAAAAAACAAACAAACAAACAAACTAATTTGAGAACCCCATATAAAAATTGCTGGTTTGGGCCAAAAAGAACGACGATAAGGAGTAGGGATTGAAATCAGTCGATTCAACCGTTAAAGGGTGTTTGGGCCAAAAAGAACTGCGTAAAGATGCAACCTTGTTCAATTAGCGTAAGAGGCCCAGGTCTAGGTCCATCAGAGGAATTAGACAATACGATAAAGTCTGGATGATACGGACTACGGAGCACTCTATTTTTCATGTTCTGTCTAAATGTAAACGCCATTAATTAGAAAGAAAATGAGAATTTAAAAGACAAAAAAAAAAAAAAAAAAAGCGAGAGCCCTTAACTTTTTTTAAATTTATGTCCTTACCTATACTTTAAAAAGGATAAGTTAAAAATATTTTTTTAAATACTATAAAAAATATTAAAAATTAATATTAATTTTAATATTTGTGTTAAGTAAATAAATTTAATTAAATAATTGATAAATTAAAAAAAATAACGCAAATCTGAAATTTAATTAGAGGATTTAAAGATCCGACATATACACAAATATGAAATTTAATGGAAGATTCCCTCATGATTTGAATCATTTAATTGTAAATCTCTCGGAATTTTTCTAAGAGAAAAAAAAAAAAAAAATTTGCCAACTACATTATGGCGTTGTGGAAGGGCTTCAGATGGTGAGCCACTAGATCTTGGGTTGGAACTGAGGTTTACCTCCCACTATCTTTTTCTAATGGAACAATTGGTTTTTTTTTTTTTTTATCTTGTATTTTTTGGATAAGTTTAAGAAGTATTTTTTATTATAAATATGTATATATAAACATAAAAATTAATATTAATTTTGGTGTCAATACCATGTGGATGAACTTAATTTGACATTTAATAAATTAAGTGTTGGTTTTTATTTTTTTAATACAAAAATTTATAATAAAAAAATATATTTAATATACTTTTAGAGAATACATTAGACAAACTAAAAAAAAATCCATCAAAATTCATAAACTGAGGATACTAGAATTTTTTGTGTGCTGGTACTTATAAAATTTTTATCCACAAATATCATTTAATGTTTCGTATTCAAAATGACAATGTAATTTATTATTCTCTTTATCTATTTTTAATACTTATAATTTAATTTTTTGACTTTTTAAAAATAAATTTTAAATAAAAATTAAATATATTATATAAATGATAATTCAAAAATTTTTAATAAAAAAATTCAACAAAACTATATATAAAATAATTTTTTTTAATTATTATTCATATAAATTATTAAATTTTTATTTAAAATTTATATTTATAAAGTTAGAAAGTCAAATTAAAATAAAAATAAAAAGAGTAAAATTATTTACACTAAAATTAAATCAATTCAAAATTACATTTTTAATATGGTTCACGTAATTCCTCACCCCAACCGCTTGAACCAAATTTATTGAGTTAAAAAAAGAGCCTTTTACAAAAAAACAAAAAAAACAAAAAAAAAAAAAGGAAGGAAAAGAAAGACTAGTGTTCTACATTTTTTTTATTTTAAATTACATAATGAGTGGGAGGTAATCTTTATAAATTTTTAATTTATTTTATTTATATATTATATGATTTAAATTTTTTATTTTAAATTATACAATAAATATAATTTTTTTGTTTTTTAAATTATTCAATTTACATATTATATGACTTAAACTCATGATATATTATTTTAAAAAATATTATTAAATTATTTAAATAATTAACATATATATGACCTAATTTTTTTTTTTAAATAACCCGTGGATTAATTAGATTCGATAGGTACAGTTCTACGTTTTCAGATTGATAAATAAAACCATGTCAAACTTAACTACGACAGCTTTTGAATATGATCCATGTGAACAAGAATTCATTGGATGTAGCTTTTAAATGTGAATGTGAATATGCCCAAATTGAGAAAAGTTGTAGTTATCCAAATTGAAGAGTTGCATCTCCCTTGTACCAAAAAAAGGAATTGCATCTCTTCATAAAATTCAATTAATTAATTCATTAACTAATTAATAATACTCCATTACGTACCAACCAAAGAAAGAAAAGAGATTCTCCAGCTTCATTTGTTCCAATATCTCCAAAATTGCATTTCCTTATCGTGATTTATTGGTGTCAATTGCAGTTTAAAAAAGTTGTTAATGGATTATACTTTTGATCAGTGATTGAATTTTATCAAAAAATGAGGTATTAATTTTTAATTCTTAACTCCTAATCATTATCTTATAAAAAAAAAAATCCCCAAAACTCAACCTTACAATTTTTTTTTCTTAAAAAGATGAAAAAAAAAAACTTAAATCTTAGTAATCTTTTAACATTTTTGGACATTGTTTAATAGGGTCGATTGTCAAACCTTTTTTTTTTTTTTTATTGAACAAGGCAATTTGGAAAAGGAGAAAATATCATCCATAAAATTAAAACATGCAATTCACGAACAAGTGATCCCCATTTAATAAAGAAACTCGATCACTAAATCAAAGCAGGGGAATAAATTGTCAAACTTATGTCCTATTAAATGTATTAATCAATCAAGTACCCAAAAAAGTCAATAAAAGTTGCCATCAATCCCATTTGGCACGGTTTGTGTCTAATTATATTATTAAAAAAAGAGAGTCCCAAATTTTTAAGCAACTTCCAATTGAAAAATATAAAAATGAATGAAAGAATTGAGAATGTGGAAATTGTTTCATTAAAATATAAAAAATTAAGCAGATTAATATTTTTTTTCTATTAACTATATCTAAAAAAATTACTCATAGGGAAAACTAGAATGTTTTCTAAATTTTTTCAAGGAAATTTATAATTCGCCAAAAATAGATTCATAGAGACAATATTTTCTTCATTTTTGATATAATCTAGATTAAACTATTAGATGGATTTTACTGTTTCAAAATAATTATTGTTTTTTAATATTAAATTTGTATTATATTAATTGTTATTTTTTATGTTTTAAGGATAAAATTATTTTTTATTTTAATTATATTATTATTTATTTATTTTGATTAATTTTTTAAAGATAATATAAATAAATATATAAATTATCTTTTAAATTTCTAATTAAAAAAGTAAAAAAATTATAATTATTTTTAAATAAAAGAAATATATTAATATATTATAATGTCACCTTGAAAGGAGTTGTTAACAAAATTCAGAGTGCAAATGAAAAAATAAGAGGACAAAATTAAAAGAAATTTGGATGACTTGACTGACACCAAACCTATATTTTGGCGTAAGCTTAAATTAGACCGGCGGCTTGTACACTAATTAATTTTTATTTATTTTTAAGTAATCAATTTTTATGAGAATTTAATTAAGTAATCATTTTTAATAGTATTTTATTTTGTTCGATAGAGACTAAAATACAAAAATAAAATACAAATTATAAACAGTATAAATATTTCGATTTAAGCACATTACAGAAATTATGAAAAATCTAAAAAAAAAAAAAACTTTAGGAATTGAACTTCTAATCTTAAGCTTCCGTCTTTGCCGTTGCACTAATGGTAATTTATTTAAATAGTAATAATTTTTTATGGTATTAATTTATTTATGGGAGTTTTTAATATGTACTTTATAATTAATTTGTATGAAAAACATAAATATTAATTTTAAATTAATTAATTAATTAAAATTATTCACATATTAATAGTATTAAAATAAATATTAATTTTTAATATTATTATTTAATAAGAAATTTAAATGATTTGTATATTAATCACATAAATTACAAAGATTGTCTCTATAACACCATCTTATTGTTTAATAAGAAATTTAAGATGATTTGTATATTAAAAATATAAATTATTTTATAAATTTATTTAAATATTGTTAATGTAATAATATAAATAATAATTTTATTAAAAATATTTAAATAAATTTATAAGGTGAATTATATTTTTAATATATAATTTGTTTTGAAAAATTATCAATTTGGTATAAAAATTTATATAAAATTAATTAAAAATATCTTAATTAATAAATTTTAATTTATACCCTTAACATATAAATTAAACAAACTCTTTATTTTATAATACAGCTATTATATTATACACTGTATAAATATCCGGGGAATTTCCTAATTTTCTAATATCCTCGAATTTAGACAGCTCCAAATTAAAAAAAAAATTAATTAATTGTAAGAATAATAAACTCGGAAAGATTGTTGATCCCAGATTTGATCCGGAAAACCCCTCGTTTTCTGAAAACCGAGATTCGTACCAAATAAACTTTGAGCCAATTAACAAAACCCAAATTCGTTTTCCCTGCATTTGTTGATTTTTTCTCAGTTTGATTCGTTATTTCTTAGTAAATTCACTTTATTTGGAAAAGAAATTGGGTTTCTGTTTTTGGGTCTGTTAGCTTCTTCCATTGCCGCCAACCTACGTTTCAACTGGTATTTTCATTATTGAACTGCATTTCAGTTCAATTTGGAGGTGCCCCAATAGTTTGTAGCTCATTTGGTGAAGTGGGTATTGATTGTTTTTGGTGTTCATAGAAGTTCCGGTGATCCCTGGAGTGAAATTCGATTCAAAAGAGCTTGTGGGCGTCTGTGGGGGTGATGAGAGGAGTGTCTTGGCGGTTGATAAAGGGATAATGAGTGGAGGGTCATTGGGGATTCGGTCTGGGAGTTGTGGGACTTTGGATAAACAGCTGCAGAATGGTAGATTGCCTATTCAAGTTCCCACAGCCACAAGAAATAAGCCCACGAAAATGTTCCATTGGATCTGCAAATTTGCCGGCCGTAAGAAGGTGGGAATGCTGCTCCTCTGTGTCATCTCTGCCGCAGTTTTTGTTTGGGTCTTGTATGTCGGGAAAGGTTTGTTCTGTTATCTATTTCTCTCACGGAATATTTAGTTTGTGACTACTGATTTTATTTTGCTGGTAAGATGGGTTTTGGCTGGTTTTTCAATTAATGGAATTGAGAGATGTTTGTTTCTTTGATTATTTTCAATGGGGCTGTAGTTATAGTTAGGTGTTTTATTGTTGTTATTTGATGAAAGAATTAGGATTTGGGAATACCATTTTTTGATTTGCCATAGGTTAGAGCTCATTTTGTGTGCTAATTATTGAATTTGGATGAACATTGGATGTAGTCATTCTCAAATTTGGCATCTAGAGGTATGATCAATCTTAGTTATTTCGTGTGTTCTGCTCCTTCTAATGTTCTGAGAACTGTTGCCTGCTTTACTTTTGGAGGAAATAATGTTTCGATCAGCTCAATTGAATTGATTCCCTTTGTTGCCATATCCCAATATTTCAATTTTTCATTTGATTTACCCTATGAATTTATATCAATGGTTTCTGATGAATCTCATATTCAAACTTGAGGATAGTTGGCTTGTTAGTTTTGAGCCATTTGACCTTCTCAAGAACATGAATCTTAGCAAACTAGGTCCATTGTGCTTGTTAACCTTCGAAAAATGCTGGTTAAAATGTGTCCCTGTTTGAAGTTTCTCTAATTACCACATTGCTTAGATTCCATAAGGATAAAACTTTTTACACTTATGCATGCATTCTTGATTTTTCTTCAGGTGAAGTAGATATCCTGGAAAATGATCATGTTCAAAGTGTGACTCTCAATGTTCGCTTGTCCATAAATTATTCTGGATCCCCACTGATATATAGTTTGCAACCAAATGGACTGAATGCTGCATATACAGTCAATCAGACATCTTCCTTAATCACTGGGGAGGAGACAGAGAACAGAATAATGCCTCCTCCTGCTTCTTCATATTTTCTGGGGTACACTCTTCCTTTGGGGCATCCATGTAATACTTTTACTTTACCTCCTCCACCTGCAGACAAGAAAAGAACTGGACCACGGCGTAAGTTTCTTCTAGTATTTGATGCTTCTGCTAGAGAATTCCTCTCATGTAAACAGGGTTGCTGAGTTTTCTTAATTGTTTATGGCACAGCATGCCCAGTGTGTTACCTTCCTTTGGAAGAAGCTGTTGCCTTAATGCCAAAGGTCCCCTCCTTTTCTCCTGTTCTTAAGAATTTAGCATATATTTATGAGGAACCGTTAAATAGAGAGACAGAATTTGGAGGTTCAGATTTTGGTGGATATCCTACTTTGAAGCAACGTGACAATTCTTACGATATAAGAGAGTCAATGAGTGTGCACTGTGGGTATGGTTCTTCTACTTTTTGTTTTTAAGTGCATAATTCCAAACCTCTCCTCCCCCATCCCAAGCATTCAAATTTGAGACCCCTAACCTGGAAGTTTCTTGATCAAATCATTTGGCAACCCTTCAGTGAAGTTCATGCTATCATGTGGATTTAATACTTTCAACTAATGTGCTTTTTTCCTTTTTTATTTTTCCTCAGATTTGCCAAGGGAAGAAAACCTGGCCGTGGGACAGGATTTGACATTGACAATGGCGATCTTCTTGAAATGGAGCAGTGCAATGGAGTTGTTGTTGCATCAGCTGTATTTGGTACTGATCTGTATACTTCTTCAACTGTTTATGTTTAAGATGGTAAATTTCTTATTAAATAGTTAAATAATTCTTTTGAAAATCAGGTGCTTTTGATAACATACAACAGCCAAGTAATATTAGTGAATACTCCAAGCAAACTGTCTGCTTCTATATGTTTGTTGATGAAGAAACAGAAGCAGCTTTGAAACGTGATGGTGGTCTGGTAAATAGTAAAAAGATTGGAATATGGAGAGTAGTTGTTGTGCACAATCTTCCTTACAGCGATGGAAGGCGAAATGGAAAGGTGAATGCTCTTAATTTTGATCAACATTTCTGTTGAATTTAGATTACTGTTTTTTTTTTTTTGGGGGGGGGGGGGGGGTGTTGTGTGCGTGGATTGTGGATGGGGATGTCAAATATAATCCAACTTTAATAGGAAGAGAAAAATTCAAGTAAGGGCCAATTTTAACAATTTAGTCACAAGATACTTATGTTAGAATAAGGATGATAAGCATGGATGTTACTCTCTACATAGGTTTGCTGTGTACATGAACTAATATGATGCTAAAAGTAAGTTGCAACTTGAAAGAAGGTTTTACTTAAGATGTTGACATTACAAACTGGAATAACTGGGATTTCATTTGTGAACCAACTCTATTAATTGCATGAGGTAGTGCCTTGATATGTTCTTTGACATGGGTTATACCTGTGGCAGATTCCAAAACTTCTGCCACATAGGTTGTTTCCAAATGCTCGCTTTTCTCTGTGGATTGATGGTAAACTGGAGCTTGTTGTCGATCCATATCAAATTCTGGAGAGGTACCCTTTTGTTTTTGGGTTTTCTGCTCACTTTAGGAAATATGATTTGTTTATTATTTGAGAAGACTTTGATACTGATATGTCAGAAACTATGACCTTTATAGTAATAGGAGTATGCCTCTTTCTTGATTTAGCTGTTTTTTGGAGTAAATATTTGTTCTTCATCACTCTTCTGTGTCTTTTTACAGGTTTCTATGGAGAGAAAATGTCACTTTTGCAATTTCAAAACATTATAAACGCTTTGACGTGTTTGATGAAGCTGAGGCAAATAAAGCTGCAGGAAAATTTGATAATGCCTCAATCAACTTTCAAGTTGATTTCTATAAGAAGGAGGGTTTGACTCAATACTCCGAGGCTAAACTTCCTATCACTAGTGGTAGGTTGCAAGAAGCTTGCTCTTTATTGCTTTTGGTCATCCTTATTATTGTTCTTGCTGAAGTTTACTTTTATGGCTCTCTTCAGATGTTCCTGAAGGATGCGTGATAATACGGGAGCACGTTCCAATCAGCAATCTTTTTACCTGTCTTTGGTTCAATGAAGTAGACCGTTTTACTTCCCGTGACCAAATCAGTTTTTCCACAGTGAGGGACAAGATCACAGCAAAGACAAACTGGACTGTCAATATGTTCTTGGACTGTGAAAGGCGAAATTTCGTAGTACAGGTGATTGTCCGTTTGCTTCCCTGGTTATGTTATGCAAACTAAACCATGATTATGGACCAGTAGCATTTCTACGTAATCTTCATATATTGTTATATGTCATGTATCATACAACAATTTGGTTTTAATTGCTCGTTTAGACCCTCACCTCACTCTCATCCTCTTGCAGAAACACCATAAAGACGTGCTAGCGGAACTAGCACGTATGGCTCCTCCAACAGTTTATTCTCCACAACCACCATCCCTAACATTAGCAAACGATCCACCAAGAGTATTTTCACTCGAAACTTCAGGTGACAGAGTAGTAAATTCTCCAGTTAGGAAGGTCACACAAAGACGTGGTAGAGACATGCGGTCCGGTTCTAGGCGCCGCCGCAAAGTCATCAGGGACAATGATTCAAGTTAAAATTTTGGTCAGGCAAATCACATTCTTTTTCCTCCCCATTTCACAATCATTCATGCCGGGGCTGCAAAAATTGTTCAAGCAAGAAAACAAAGGTTGTCATTTTTTTCCCCCCATATCCCTACATTCATAATTGTCCGTTTCCATTCATTTTTTGTTGTATATAT